TTGGATTATATAATAAATCGAGGATGATTTCTTTTGTTATCAGCAGCAGATTGAAGAAGATAATTCGAAAGGAAAGTTTCGAAGGGAAGTGGATCACGAAAGATCGAAGGGTTCTTCTGTTTTTTTTTTTTTTTTTTTTTTTTTTTTTGTGAATATGAACGATATTGAGAACGAAAGTAAGATACATTGATTGGAGGATTTGATGAGACGTTGAATGATTGCATGTTGTTGAAGAATTTAATTTTTATTCGAGGCGAGAAAATGAAATTTTCCGAGTCGAAGAGTTTAATGAAGATTGATGATTCGAAACGTGATTCGTAATGATTTAATTATTTCTAATACGTTCGGATAATAATTATTTCACGATGTGATAGACGTATAAAATAATGTATGCTATGAATGAAATGTATGAAAATTAATTGTGTTCATTTATAATTAGAAAAGAAATTTGTCATCATTGTGAAATTATTTTGAAAAGAATTTGGTAAAAATCAGTCATCGTTCAGAGCGACGATATCACGTCGGTAAAACAGATTCGATAGATCTGGCGGTGATTTCAATGCGCGTAGAAAGAAATTATGCGTGAACTATGATTAATATTAAAATTAAAGTAATTCTTAAAAATTAGATGGTTACAATATTCATTTACGAAATATGATACTCATTAAAATTTAATATTATCGAAATAAATGTTTCTTAAAAAAGAAAAGAAAAACTTCCACATCAACACTAATTTAAACAAATCGTTTCATTTTTCCTTTCCATCTTAACTTTCCATTCGTATTTCCTCTTTTCCAAGAACAAATATAAACTCGTTCAATATTTTATATTATATATAGGTCAATGTTTATAATAATTTTTACGATTTCGAGAAAGTACAACCTTCTCGAATCCTCAACGAAACGATCTTCATAAATTTCTTCTCCTTCTTCTTCTTCTTCTTTCCCCTCTATTACATCAAAGTTGTCAATATGGAGCACGATACGTATACGTTAATCATTTTAGCGACTAACTTTCTCACAGTCTTATTGTCTGCTACTTTCTTCGATAGTATAAAAAAAAACAGACAAAGACAGACACGATTCGCGAAAAATATGCGCTATTGTTGAAGAGTTCTCGAAGAATTATCTCTCCGTTACAATGGCAAAACATCGAAAGAATCGAGAAAAAAGTGACTTCGAAGCGTCGTTCATCAACTGATTAATTTTTTCTCGAGAATGTTATCTTCCTCTTAATTAATGATAATTTACTCTTAGATTTAATCGATCTTTTTTTTTTAAGTTTTACATTATAGAATCATCAAGAGTCATCAGTCATGAGATTCTCTTGTAAATTTAATTTGAAATTTCTAAAAATCTGAAGGATCATAATACAAAGATTTTTAAATTATTTGGAAAACTATGTGCAAGAACAATTTATCTAAATTCTATAAATGCAAACTTGATTGATTTGATCTCTTTATTCGCCTAGTGTTAGGTGAGATATATTACGATAAAAATTGGACGAATGAAAGATTAAATGGATGAACGTGAACAACGGACGTCAGAGAAGTGAATACGTGTTTAGCGAAGAATGTTAAGCACCGTTAATAAGCACCGTAACTCGATCACCATTGGAATTGATTATGATGGAGCGTCACAACAAAATATCCATACGAATAATTCCAATTTCGAGTTAACTATCGATCGAATCATTAAATCAGAGAAAACGAAACAAATCTCGAAGAACTGAAGAAATCATTTAAAATTTAAAAAAAGAAAGAAGAACGAAATATTCACACGAATAATTCCAATTTCGTTAACCATTTCTCGATCGAATCATTAAATCAGAGAAAACGAAACAAATCTCGAAATGAGGCCATTTAAAATTTAAAAAAAGAAAGAAGAACGAAATATTCACACGAATAATTCAAATTTCGAGTTAACCATTTTTCGATCGAATCATTAAATCAGAGAAAACGAAACAAATCTCGAAGAAGTGAGGCCATTTAAAATTTAAAAAAAGAAAGAAGATCGAAATATTTATACGAATAATTTAATTTCTGGATCAAATCAGAGAAACAAATCTCGAAGAAATGAGAGTTATAATTTAAAAAAAGAAAAAGAGATTTGAAAATCATTGGCGTTAAATATAATATAAAACAGGAACGTCAAAGAAATCCATGAACGTATTCATTCAACGACCACGATGCGCAAGATGCTCCACTTACTCTTCAAAGAAGACAATGGCCGCCAAGATATATATTCTCGATGCGAGCACTACGTTACCTAATGTCTTCCTTTGAACGCAAATTGAACGTAGAGTCGACGTACCTCGAGAATGCGAGGTCGTAGACCGTCAGAATCTCAAGGCGAGCAGCTATCCTGACAGAAGAAGAAAGTGTTCGTAATGCTTCATTCCTCCACGAGGGGGAGGAAGGGAAGATTCGACCGATTTCCAAGAATCTTTTGAATAAATCCTTGAACGTAATTTGCCAAAGAGGTAATTAATGCATGATTGACATGATTGGCGAGAAGTGGTATCAGAGACGAAGCGTATGGAATAGTTATAGGATGCACGGAATAAGAGATAAGATTCCGTTTCATCCTGATTGTAATTTTATATACGGCTGAGCAAGAAATGGAACGTTTAACTCGATTGTTCTCGATTGTTACGAGAAATTCACGTGAAATGAAATATTTAAACATAGCTTGTTATCAGAGAAAGAAAATTTTATTTTACCTTAAATTCATTGTGTAATAATATTTTCACTTATTCTTACTTTATCATTTTATTTTCTGAGGTGATCTAAATTAATATTTATCCGCGTAGAATTGACATAAATTGAGCAATAGTAATTTAATGATTTAACAATTAAAATCCATATTAATTATCATTAAATCGTCGTAAAAATGTGATTTGAAGATATTCCTAAAATTAAACATCGATAAAACTATTTTTGATTAGTCTTAGAAAATTTAATTAATAATTATTTAATATTAAAAAAAAAAATTAATATATTTTCTCTACTTTCTATGCTTTATACTTTACGATTCATACTTACATGCCAATCCTCTTCTGTTCCATTATCTCGACAGAGTCTAATTATTTTTCATGACTCGTTGTCCTCAAAGAAAAAGGAAATCTTTTTAAAGTCTCTTAATTCGTATAAGGATATGGTTTGATAATTTTCTCGAATGGAAAATTGCGGAATGTGCCATCGAATAATTCGAAATATCCGTCAGAGATGAGTTCGTTGAGTATAGGTGTGCTTATCTTGAAGAATTGTTTCCACGTGCTATTTATCACGGTGTCGATAAAATTCTCGATGAATTTGACGCCGAAGAACAAATTCGTGACGTGTAATCTCATGTCTCTGATCGAGTTTAACTCCACTTTCACATAAACCCTTGATCCTGGTTTCGCGATAACCGTAGTCGTTTGAACGAGATCGTCTGAAAAGACAAAATGATACTTGTGAGAATAATTGTATAATTCAATTTCTTGCGAGAAATTGATTAAATATTAATTTTAATAATATCGTATATCAGACAATATAGAAATATCATTTTTTTTTTTTTGATTTCAATTAAAATAATATCACTTACAAAGCTGTAACATGAACGTTCCTCTGTTGTTTATAGTAGAATTAAACGTAGATGCTTTGAATTCGTATGCACCTTTTAGCCGTTTGTCTGGGAAATTTTGTGTATACACCACCTAAAAATGGAATAATAACGATAAAGATTATTATCATTACAGATAGATATTTTTCTCCACGATTAATTAAGTCTGATATTTCATTTTTTTTTTTTTTTTGTAATAATTTCTCTAAATAGGAATGATGTATCTGATATTACGTGTGCTCGCTATTAATACGAGTAAATTTTCGATGAAACGATAAATAATTCATATTATTTCCCATAAGAGGCAATCAAAGATTGTCAATAAAGAAATCCATAAGGGGCTATTAGATTCGACAAATATTATTCCATAGACGCGAGTAAGTACTCAAGTATATATCTTCACCTTGTAGTTCTTCAAATCACTGGTGAACTTCGTCACTTTGCTCAAATCCCATCCAACTTCCTCGACGTTGTTCATTGTAATGACAAAACCGAAATTGGGTATACCTCGTGACGTGCGCGCTTTTTTGATAAAAAATGGCTCGAAAGGGATGTGTGCTCCGTATTTGGGAACACCTGTCTTAAAATAAGGTCGGATCTCATTTAATGCACGTTGAATACATTGGTCGAAATTTGAGACATTTGGGTGGCAATCCTTGAAATGATCCTCTAGAAAAGAGAAGAATAATATATTGTTACTCACGAGAATAATATTATTCAATAATTATTGTTGAAAAAATGAAATAATGAGTTACAGTTTAAAATTATCTGAAATTAATTATCAAAAAAAGATAAATCATATTTTAGATATGGAACGCGATCAAGTATAGTTTTTGAGATATTAATAAATAAAGGGATGCAGAAAATTGCAAAAAGATTATTTACTTACTTTAATGAATTACCATAAAATAATTATCATTCCAATTACAATTTAAAACGTAGAATATAGTAATTTGAAAGAAAAATTAAGAATTACAATTAGAAAAAATAATTTACTTTTAATAAGATTAAACTTTGTTCTACTTATATGTCACGATTAAAATATTAACAAGTAACTTTAAAACTCTATAATTTTCTATACGTTGTATCGATTATTTTCTCAATCTAAATGGAAATCAAAAGACGTTCATTTACCAAATTCTATTCCTATCGATGATGAGCACAGGAAGAGCACCAGCGTTCCGAAAACTTTTATCGACAATAGCATCTCGTCAATCGATAATGTACTTCGTCGATAATCGAACGCAGCAACAGCGTTCAGTTTTCTTCAAGGTAATCACAATTCTAGGCTAACAAAACTGTACATACGATGCTTACACTTTCACTCTCGACCATACATCTGAGAGAAGGATTAACTTGTGTTTCGGTTTTGAGCGAGGATTTACGGCCAATCTTACGTAAGCTTGCGTCGAAATATTGGGGAGATCTAAAAAAGATATTAAGAAAAAAAATAAGATGTCACGATTGAATATCTTGGAAAGATATATATATATATATATATACTTTTGCTGCTACTCTATTCCTCATTAGATAAGAGCCAAAATTGTGTAATTTTTAATTTTATCGTATAATTATCTTAATTTTGTGAAAGTTTTTTTAACGAATAATTTATTAATTTAATGAATTGAGTGAATTGAATTATTACTATGAATAGTCGAGTAATTTTTTTTTATTTATTTTATTTTATTTTTATAGATATTTTATTGAAAAAGACAAGTATCTTTAGAAAGAAATCTTTCTGAAGAGATAGAGAGAAGAGAAAATGTTCTTTTTTTTTTTTAAAAAAGATTTAATTGGAAATAGTTAATAAAGCTGTGAATTTTTAGATATATGAGTTGTGAAAAATTTTTGTGAAAAATTTGAAAGTGCAAGTGCCTTTAATTGAAACAAAGTTCAGAGAAAATATAATGATCAATAATCGTGTTATAATATATATCAATACAGCTTTTAGATTTTTTTAGAAAATACATGTGATTTATACAAAAAAAGAATTAATAAAAATAATTATATGATAATTTTATTATCATACAATTTTTTTAGAAAAAGAAATGAATTATACATGAAAGAAATAACTATACAAAAAAATTAAAGTAAGTAAATAAATATACTACGTGTAATTATTTGTTTCTTTTCTTCGTCAATAGATGTCAATCACATGCAAATGATGTATACTGATTCATTATAAATTTATTTAAATACTTATCTAACTTTTTCTGCTGTTTTTTTTTAAACATTGTACGAAGTAAATACAATATAATAGATATCTTTTTATCTTTAATTCTAATTTTCATTGATAATTTTCATCGAATCATTTCATAACGATTATGAAATATTATGATATATAATATTAAAGAAATTTTATATATCAATGTAAAGATCACTTTCGCGACCTTTTTAGTAAGTGAAAGTTTTTTATGTAACATATTAAGATTATATGAATAATTTTGAGTAAAATTTTGAGAAAAATTCAATTATTAATTTTATTTTTGAAAAATAATCATTATAATACAAATTATAGTAAGCTGATGATAAAATTCATTGTAAAATTCTATATAAAATTATGAAAATAATTTGTAAAACAGATATCAATAATTCCTTATTAAAATATTATAAAATTAGATTATTTTTCAACATCAAACTTGAAATTACTTTGCGTCTTTTTGAAGATAACCATGGTCGGTTGCTTCAACACTTTCATGAATCCATACCTAAAGTTCAGTCTATTGAAAATCTGATTGCACAATAGATTACAAATTGTGCAATTATGGTTACAAATTCGTTATGTTATCTTACATTTCGATAATGTAAAAAGTTCGTTTAATTTTCATTAAAATCTTGTATATATTTACTATCTTTTAGCATTTCTTTTTTGTCACAATATTTTTATTATTTTTCTAATTTTTATTATACTCGAGGAAAACTTGTTTTCATTGAGAAGAATATTATATAACTGATTTATTAATATATTAAACGAGATTCAATATTTGTTTAATTAAAAAAAAAAAAAAAGAAAAACTAATATTTCTTCTAAGAACAAAAAAAAAATTTTCAATTTTTCAATATTAAATTCAATATTAAAGTTATATAACGTTTTGAAAAAATTAATGAAATGCAAATCAGGATTGATAAATATTTAATTTATTTAATTTAATTATAATATATTCTATGAAATGAAAAAACATTGATAAGAAAAAACATTTTTAACGTTATTTTTCATAAATTATTTTATCTACAAATACTTTGACGTTCAAGACACAATTTGCTATTGTCTTCCACAAACTTTATAGCAAACCATTCACTAGTCTATGTTTATACATATGCTCTTTTACTTTTACTCGTAAAATATTCTAATATTGTTTGTCGAGATTATTTAACATATATCAAGGCACATACAATCTCAAACAATCGCAAACCAAGTGTATTCGACTAATTGCTCGAAAGATTATCACTTTCTAACAAACATTCTGAAACGATGTACGATTTACAATGATAAAAATGTCAGGTTTTTGCTTAATATTGTCTTTTAGAAGAAAGAACAGAAGGAAATGAAAATGAATATAAGATATTGCTAGCCAATCAGGAACAGAGACGCCAGAATAGGGGCGCCAAATTGTTTTTCTCCTTCGATTTAATATTCAAAGAAACTTCAACGAATTATCTGTTTCAAAAAAAAAAAAAAAAAAAAAAA